TTTCTCCTTATCCTACTCCCGTAGTGTCGGCACAACAGGTTTTTGTCCTCCAAATAACTCTATCATACGTCATCTCAGTCATCACTCCCTTTTTGTACATGTCACTTTTTACACAATCCATCCATCTCTTTCTAGGTATTTATATTCTTTATTCTATTCAAATAACTCAAAAACTACTGTGCCGATTTCTAAAAAATGTTTTAAAATCTCACGTGGACGAAATCGCGAGCAAAAGCTAGTATGATAGACGCATACAATTTTATATATCTATGAATTACTTCGTATTACTCCATTCCTAAAGGTTTCTATTGCCAAAACATCGCTACAAAAACATATTCTTTGATCGAAATTAAAAAAAAAGTGGTATGCCTGTAACCGCGTTTACATTCGTACTTCCTTACTATTATCAATATGTCTACGTCGCGCGGATTTCCCAGTCTCTTTCCTTATTACTTTGTTGTAATTAAAACATTGTATTTTCTATAATAAAGGGTAACTGTGTTATTTAATCAATTTATAATAAACTAGCTTTCTCCCGCGACTCCGTCCGCGTACAATTAAAGTAAGTAGCCTAAATGTTCTTCCAGACCATCCTCTACAGCCATACCTTTACCGAGATCCGTTCAGCCGTTTAGGTTACAAACTCTATCAAACATCTAAACTTTCGCATTTATAATTAGTATGATTGTAGTCTTCTTACTAATGTATTTAATTATTCCGCAAAAAAGAAGATTATTTACATTAGTAACAAAGTGCAAATTTAAAATATTTTATGAAATTGGTATAAGCGCCATCTATTATGCTAAAGATGTGATAAGTGAAATGCAAATAATGTAAACGTATTAGATACTTTGATGTTTAATAGATGGCGCTGTTAAGAAAAACTCAATTTCAGATTAACGCTTTTCGTATGATCAGCTCGCAAGAAATCATACAGATATTATAAATACGAAAGTTTGAATGTATGTTAGTTACTGTATCTTCAAAACCACTTTACAAATATGACAAGACATGCTTAACGTATCTTTTTAAAAGTAGCATAAGCTATTCAAGTCATATCTGTATAGTATAACATTAGGGATTAGAGCTACCACAAATTGTTTAGTTTGCCAAAATTTAAAATAGATGGCGCTTATTACATTTTGTTAAAAAGTGGCCCTATATCTTATTTTATTTTCTTCTTTACCTTTCTCAAATGATGAATTACATTTTTTAACAATCGCAAGATAAATTAATATTAAGAAATAAAAGTCATAAAACCTTTATATACAATCAAATTTATTTTCATTTTTTTTTTCAAAATAACAAAGAATAGTTAAGCTAGAGGTTCAGAACCTTAAAGTTATATCATAGTTGACTTGACCAACGCCAGAACATGTCAATCTTACATTCATACCACGACTCACATTGACTATGTCACCGTAAAATTGTAAACATCGTTATTTTACAATTTAACCAACTACAATTTTTTGAAAGAACTTTTATTAAACTATCGTAATTAATTCGTTAAATTAAGAACTGATTTCTTGCCTTCCAGTAACATATATAAATATCTTGTCGATTTACAACTTTTCTAGTAAGATTGTAATAATAAGATTTTACATTTTTACGGTAACAACTACAATCTAAACATTACAAAGACGATATCCGAGGTATGGCCGATTGTTTTTTTTATTGAAAACTGCCGTAGTTGTCAAATTAAACACCCGTTCGAATTTGTCAACCCGAAGTGCAATGTGGTTGTCTATGGCCTTGTCACCAATCGTAAAAAACCTCCCATCGGATAATCATCAATAAAACACAATCATTTACGCCAAATTTTATAAGTAAATTTATTCGGTAAAGGGAACTTATGCCGGATTAGCCATATAGCAAGAGTAGCAAAGGCTACGGGCCCTGCGAATTTGGGGCCCCACACTCCAACACCTATGTGACAGTAATAATAAAATTGTTTTATTTAATACCGTCAACTTGAGAACCTAAAGCAAACTAAGGGCCCCTTAACCTTAAAGTTTAGCGATGTTTAATGTTCACTATTTATTCTACTCTATAAGTAAAACAATTGATTGAATGTTATTATTATCCTACTGGATAGCGAATTAAATTCTCTAACTGTATGTTAAAAGTAATAATTAAACCAAATAAAAGGCTCAACTCATGTATGATCACGTGACTGTATCGACAAGTTTCAGACCCGTCGGTCCATTTTACCAAGATGGCGGACGTCAACACAAAATACGTGAGTTAAATTTTTCCTTCTTTTATGATAATGGCCCAATTAATTGTAAATTACTAACAATCGGCGTAAATGATTATATTTGTCTAACATCAAGCTAATTTTCTTATACATGCACATATATTGCCAGCCTTCTTAGAAAATCAAGGATGACAATATTCTACAAGTATAGAGAATACGGTAAAGGTTACCTTTCAACGATATAAGATTAATAAATAAAAAAAATGTCAGTATATTGTCGCGACGTCATCTATTGATGAGTAACAAAAAAACATATTGGAAGAATTCATGTTTGCGGGCATCGTGTAGTCTTAACGGGCAATTGAGTGCAGTGAATCCCTGTTACTTTAAGTCGCGAATTTGAACGCACGAATTTAAAGGCGTTTTAACTCTATCCCCACGCCCGTAACAATATTCTACTTTTGGTCGCGAATTCCTCCGCGTAAAAAAAGCACATTATTCCAGCAAATAAACTATCTTTGAACCTTCTACCCAGATCCATTTAGCAATTCTGAACGTGGTATGAATCCATCCTTTTTAAATGTGTTTACAATCTGGGAAGGTATTTAACACACTCAGGGCCAATAACTCGGATCCGAGTGAACGTGGTTTTCATTTTTTTTAAATAACATACAGACGATTTGAGTACATTCTTCTTTTGGGAAATCGGTCGAAAATAATAATCGGTACAGCACATAATTTAAAACATTAATTTGAACTTAGCCTTAGAAAATTTTAATTTCTAGCTAATATTCTGTGCTAAAACATTTGTTATTACAGACAAAATAATAATGACTTCAAATAAAATTCTTCCACGAAACTTCCAATAAAAAGACTTCCACGCAATATTAAGATAAAAAAAAGCAACCTAAAATCCCGTCTATGTCAGCTACCGTTCAGTGAACGTCCAGTCGAATTCGTCCCAGCCGTTTCGGAGATTACCCGGAACAAACGCGGTTTGCGAACAGACAGACAAAAAAAAATTAAATGCGATTTTCGTTATCAGCAACTCAAATACATCATCTTCCCGAAATATGTTTTTTTTTGATATTATAGACACTCCAATTTTATTATACGTATAGATGAAAGGTAACCTTTAAGTAACTGTTACTCTAAACCCATCAATTTCTACAACACACTCCTTTGGTCCAATACATCCATACATTTCCACTAATCTGAATTTATTTCATATTTAAGAACACGTTTGTAAACTGGATATTTTTAATTACATTTAGAATAAACTATTATTGTTTTAATTGAATTACAGTTCTATATAACGTATTTATATATCTATTAGTATATAAAGCATTAAATTAAAAGCTTTTAAAAGAAATCAGATTAAAAAAATATCTGAAATGTAGTAACAATTCAATACTTTATCAACCTTACAAATAAACGCGGTATAAAGGAATAAACTGAGTATAAGCAAATTTTGCGCTCACTCTATGTCCATGGCGAGCACTGGCAGGGCGGCCATCTTGTGTCAATCATCAATTAGTTCGATTTGAGTCGCGACGGAGTGCGCACGCGACATTGTGCGGTGGACGCCAATTCAATGTGGACGTAAATTCAATATCTTAATGCAAACATATTGTTACAATGTATAATTATTTAGTGAAAATACGAATTGTGATTGTGAAATATCTGAGTACCACGCCTACAAGGAAAAGTCTTAAATCACTAGATATTACCCGATGTTAGTCGAAAGACTTCATACTAATATTTGCGTATACTCAGTTTATACCTAAGTTTAACTTTATACCGCATTTATAAGGCTGTAAAAATATAATTGTTGAAAACTAACGAAGAATTAGTATATAATTTAGATAATAAATGAATAAATAGTAATAAATTCTAGCGTAGTGAACATTTATACAATAAGAACAATTTATATTTTATATTCTGGTTTTACATAAATTTTATTTATTTAAATAAATCTAGATAAATAATATATTTATAACGTTCGTAAATTCAAAATAAATTACGTACAAACAAACACAACTTAATATGACTACAGCCACAAAATCACAGGATTAAAAAACTTTCACATACTAGATAAATATACAATAAAAACGAGATTTTTAATTACCTTTTGACTACATATCTTATATTAATAATTTGCTTTTAAGATACAATCACTAAAAAAATTCAATAACATCTCAAGACAAATAGGAATTTATGACGCAATCATGGAAGATATTAACATCGAATTCGGTTTTAGAAATAACTACAAAATATACTTATACATATTTTCTAACACTTGACTTTTTATGTTATCGAACAATTGTCATTTTAGTCAATAGATAATCGAAATAGAATACTTCGAATTGCTGAGTTATCGACAATTACACTTCAAGTGAATTATTAAAATTGTCAAAGCATTAACCTGATGAATTATACGAATCGTTCGGTAACACAAATGGTTTAAACACAAGTATTTCTTACAACTAGAATGTTAATATTTAGTTTATTGATCTAAATAACTCCATAAATTCATCTATCTATATAATTATAAGATTTTCAATTTTTACACCGTACTAAATAATGTAAATTATTTCATATACCATTCATAAGACTTTCATAGAAATATCAAATGCAACTAACCTTTCAAAGATTTAAATACAATATAAAATATAATCATTACGTTTTAAAACTTAAAGAATATTATAATTAAGAATCGACTATTAACATATTAACTAACAGTAACACAGATTGGAAATTTAAAAAAAAATTATGTTTACAAACGATTTTATAACCTCAAAAGCTGAATAATTAAATGCTGATATTGATCGTGGCTTTCTTTATCTCGCTCGCACATGGCTCTGGAACGTGACAATATGTATGCATGTTTTTGCAACCGATGTTTAATAATTTATTACAGAATACGTCTAAAATTCCATTTCTAACAGTTAAAAAGTTGTTGTATTGACTGTGACGTCACAATATTGTGCAGACTTACGAATGTTTTTAGGAACAAACTATGTTTCTAGTTACTATTGTATTTAAATCTTCGATACTTTCAATCTTTTCCGTAATACGAGTATTATTATAATAAACGAGTTGGCTGAATTACTATCTACAATCCATACATTCATAATTATTACTAATTTCAATTCAATATATTACAAGAAACTGTACATTATACTAAGATAAATTTATACTTCACAGGAATTGCCACAAACACTTTATTTCTCGTATCAATAATCGAATTTTAATAGACATTTATCTAACTCCTAGACTTCACTAACACCGAGTAACAGTTAATGTTTAATTCACGAAGGCACTAGAAATCTAGTGGAAGGGAAAGGGACAGACAGGGGAGTATTGGGTTAAGATAAAGAATGGACATATCAGAATTCTTAATGTTTCTATTAAACTAATTGATATGACAAGAACTATTGACTACAGAGAATTTAAATTTGTCTTTTCTAACGAAGAATCACAAAGATTTTCGATTCTATACAAGCGAGACCGCTCTGAGAGATTTAAAACACTTAACTATGCGTAACATCGAATAGGACGTTCAATACAGATTCCAATCACACAAATCAATTGCCTATTCCTCAACCACTATTCAAATCCCATAAAACTCCCATTGGAAATCGGAAATGTATAATAAATTTGATATTATTAGGCAGTATTGCGTTAAGGCATAACCTAGTAATTGTCAAAATTTACTAATGTCATTGCACTTATTCTTCTTTATTTGAAGTCCGAACTTGTATACACCATTTCACTATTATACATTTGGTATACACGTCACACATAGCTCTCCACATGGGCGCTAGTGGGTTGGTCCTAGAAAGATGCCTCAACGAGGTAAGTCCCGTCCATTGCTACACCGGTTTGGTTGCCCTGCACCGTGCTTCCAGCAGGAATGTATTTGCCACACGCTTGCTGTGGAATCATAAATAAATCACTTTAATATATGATTAAATACCAAATGTATATTTTGTAACTTGACAATTTTTATCTTTAGTAATTACTTTTAAAGTTTTGAAAATTATTATGTTATTTCTATTTGTAAGTACTATTCTGAACATAAGGTAATGACATCAAAAACTATTATCTGTCTTATTTCTCGTCTCTTGTTGACTGTCTTTTGTTTGTCAACGTGTTTAAATAACTCTTTCTAGAACTCGACCAATACGATTTAATACTTAATAGATTTTGTATTTTGTATTTTAAAAAGTAGAATCATCAGAAATATATCTATCTACACAAATTCGCTTACACTTCGAGACGCTCAAGCATTAACAATTAAGCATATTCCAGAAATCAGGAACATAAAAATAAAACATTGACGTGATTCAGGAAAGTGAAATAGAAAAAGGATCAAGAATGAAGTGTTGACATGTAAAAGTGGGGATAAGTAGCAAGTGTGTGAGATGTGCTTAAAGCATGCCAATTAAAAATAAACAAATATTGTTTTTTGTTTATGTAGACCCATTAGTGTGATGTTTAGTCTCGTTTTATTCACCGATATTGTTACACTGATCCCGATATTGTTATACCGATACCGATATTGTATTCATGATTGTTAGTGTTAAATGTTAGTACGATTGACCGTTCTATATGTAATCAAATTGGAAAACGGCCTATATCTGCCAATTATGCGTGCAGTGTGTTGGCATTACTCTGAGATTGTTTAGTTTCAAATGTATACATAAAAATATATCTAAAACAACGACATCCTTTACAATACAACACTGTTGGATCTACTGGTTTTTGAATCACATGACTAGCACGTATTTTATATAATCAATTGAAATTTTTCAATTTGTAATCACATTTATATGCTAATAATGCGATTCAGTCACAATATTTATTACATAAATACTTATATATAACATTGAATACACTTGACGTAAAAATACACGCGACTTACAGCGATACAGCGGAAGCTTAGAAATACATTTAGACATTGAAAGATTTACATTAACTTGAAGCAACATCTTTTAGCAGCCAACACCCTGCAGACATTTAAAGCCTCAATTAAATCTCTTTTACCACCAATTTTTACCACACAGCGAATACCATCAAATTGTACACGTCTAAACAAATATTGTATTATACCAAATGTATACATAATACAAATTAAATTATTGAAGCGTAATACACTTACTAAATGTATTTTTGTTTAGTTACATTACCTAAATATATATATACGTTATTTTCTCCCAAATGAGCATAAACCATAAACAATTGAACTATAGACATTATCTCAACTGAGAAGAAGGTAGTATAAACAAGCAATTGGATTTATTCACAAGTTTTTTTAATTTGTATTTATGTATATCAGTTGTATAATCCAATTATACATTCGATATTAAGTCGATAATTTTGAAATAGAAGATTGTTTTAATTTTTATTCAAGGTTCGCTGCATGGTAAAGTTATGGGGACGTACTGGTAAAGGGTCTTCGCTGGGCGCGGCAGACATTGAGGTATCAGAGGGACGAGAGGTCGCGGTGTAGCGGCGGTTCCCTCGCGCGCGCCCTTTCCTACCAGGATCTAATAGCAGGACCTGTTAGAGCCAATTGGATATCGAATATTCGTTAAATGCACAAATGTTTGTCCAAACATTGGTTATGGATATATTTAGAATGTCAGTATGTGTAGTGTATTAGAAAATAATGTTGGTTAATGTTTATGATTGAGTCGAATTATGACCATGAAGTTTGAATAGCAAAACTATTTAAAAAATAATCTTCATGAATTCTTAACATATTACTATTATAATTGTCATCATTACCTGCTTTCAAAGTAGAAAACTAAACAGATTTGACAGAACATCATTTAAAATAGGACAAATGGGCATAAACTTAAATCCATTATACTTGATACTTACCTTTGTACCTTCAATAAAAGCTTTGTGAAATGCTTATAAACACGTAAACAAGACTTTAGACAGTACATTTCATGTTAATAGGAATTACTTCGGCTTCCGAGTCCAGGGTGTGATTACATATCGTAAAGGGCAATAGCAATAGCAAATCAATCGGTGCCCATACCCTATGTGAATTATGTGAATTAGCACCTTATATAACAAAATGTGCTTACATCAGGCGAAAAGCTGTTCCCACTGAAGTATTTCCGCCTTAAGCACGAAAGGGACATGTAGCGGACTCTAGCAAGACGTCGTAACCACACTGGCGAAGCGACAACAGGGAGTACAAATACGTATGCTCATAGAGATCGATTTCTATGGCCTTTTGAATCAAACCTAATATAAATAGAATTTAACATCGATCTATAGATTTTACTGAATTTGGCCATAGAAACAATCTTGTACGTAATTGGTTTGACATCAAGTCAGTGCGAATTGTCTGTACCTCACGACGCGGCCGCGCGGCCAACCCGATCGGGCTGATGCACCTTACTGAACGACGGCGCTTCTGTTATAAAAACATTGCTTTATACAAAATATACTTTAAATACAGACAATAAATATAAAAAAAATCTTTTCTTCTAACAGTTTTACTGTCGCCAGCCAGCTTACTACGAATTTTAAATGTAGAATTAAACAGTTGTACCAAATGTTTGTTAGAATCATGTTAGTAACCGTAACATGTTTCCAACAATAACTTAGTTTACTTATTCTTTATTACTTCAAAATACCTCATATCTTAATATCGTCTTTATTTTTTAACGTTTACGACGTTGATGTTTTCTGAAATGTATTGTGTATTAGTTGTAGAAACAAAAAAGTTATGATATATCATTTGCGTGAATTTGCTATAAATTTTAGTGTAAACCAATCGAATTAGTAATATTTAACATAGAAACTTTAACATAATTTTGAATAGTTTAAATTTATTGCATGCCGTTTGGTTTGAAAAACGCTCCTCCAATATTTCACTGTTATTAAGCGGTTCTACGAAAGCTCGCTGTGTGAAGTTACCTGATACTTCTGGGGGCAGCAGCCGCAGCGCGCGCAGCATGCAAGCAGTGCAGGGGCGCGGCCCGAGTGCGCGGGGGACGCGAGGGGGGAGGGCGACCCAGGGCGCTTTGCAGCACCGTTGTACGGATTCTCCATTTCCACGAATTCACGATCCTACACAAGTGTAATCGTAAACTATCAAACTTGATAAGTGTCATCATCATCTACCCTACCTTATCCTACTCCTGTAGGGTGCACCGGGTATTCGTTCTCCAAATAAATCTATCATCTGTCATCTCAGTCACTCCCTTCTAGATCATGAACCTTTCACTCAAACCATCCATCTCTTTCTAGGTCATCAGTGCACCATTTACTAAACTAGTGATTGAATTTCTGCGTAAAGAGACTTTGATCACGTTTCATCAAACATGTAAACTGTAGAATGACTAGATTTAATTTCTCACTGATATTAATAAAGTATACGAACAGTAGTACGCTCCAAGCATCGAAGTAGATGATGGTGCTGCAATTCGAAAATGTCTTCATCGCGTCCGGCATCATCAAGTTCAACGCCGGACTCCTGAGCGGCGAGACGTGCCTCTGCAGCCTTCTTCTTGGACACGAACGCCGCACCCGACGACGCCTTGGCGATCCTAATGCGAGCTAGGCGCGCTTTCTGTAACATATAGTCAAAATACAGTTATCCATCAGTGTTCAAAACAATTAATTAAGGGGTTTCGGAAAAACTTGATATTTTGAAATAAATTCAATCATACCCTCTGCGCCTTCCTCTTGTCAGCGCGTTGGTTCTGATGGTAGATCCTGGAGAAGTTGGAGACGATGACAGGCACGGGGAGGGCGATCACGAGCACTCCGGACAGCGAGCAGACGCCGCCCACGATCTTACCGGCGATCGTACCCGGCACCATGTCACCGTAGCTGGAATGATGGAGAGAATTTTATGATAAAAGGGTCTTTAAACATAATAATGTTTTTGAATTAATACTTAATTTGTTCATGTAACGTGATTATTTTTATCGTTTCGTTGTTTTTCAAAGAATTTGGTACAGTCGGCAAAATCCAAGGTGTTCAAATAAATATTTTATGCAAACTACTTTTTCTTCTATAGACACATTTTAACGTGCATTCAATTGTTTTTTGTTTCGTATCTTCCTCTCAATGTTTACAAAACATTCAAACAATTATTGCTTTAATTGTATACCACCACCAAAATCCCCGATTGTACTTTCATGCCAACATTTTAATTAAAATCTGCTGTACTTGTTAAAGATATAAACATATTAATTTTACTTATGTGATCATTAAAATATTTGGCTACATACAAAAAGCTGTGTCAACACTCGTCGTTTTAAAGTAGGTTTCTAGGTCACATAGGTAAGTACTAAAAGAAAGGCGGAAACTGAAAACTACGCCACTTTTCTCAAGATATAAAAGGTATAAATGTTTAATGCTTCAAGTTAACTTCCCTCGTTATATTTTTGTATTTTTATTTCAACATAAAGTAATATTTTATAAAAACACTAGCTTTGGCCCGCGACTTTGTACGCGTGGGATTAAAAAAACAAAAGCGAGTAACCTATGTGTTCTTCCATAGTATCCTTTACATCTATACCAAATTTCATCGAAATCGATTCAACAGTTTAGGCTACAAACTCTAACAAACATCCATCCATCCATTACGATCCTGATCTACCTATAGCTGCAACACTCAATTACTTCACTTCAGAAATGTAAACAATAACATAAGACTTCAAACGTCATCTAAACATTGTCTATATCAAGTGTTTAAACAAATCTAGACAAGTCAAACGTTAAAGCACTAGAGAAATATTTAACTTGGCAAACATCTGACGCTGGAAACAATCTATATTCCAACAAATACACGCTGTTCAAAGCATTCATTCAATAGCGTGTATCGTTCAAAGTGCACTTTGTGGTAATTTTATATTTTAACTAGCTTTCGCCCGTGACTCCGTCCGCGTGGAGTTAAATAATACTAAAGCGAGTAGCCTATGTGTTGTTCCAGACTATCCTCTACTTATATACCAAATTTCATCGAGATCCGTTCAGCAGTTTAGGCTACAAAGTCTTACAAACATCCATCCATCCATCTAAATCTTCGCATTCATAATATTAAGTACAATGACGTATACATGAAAAAGTATATTTTATTACAATTGTTTCGTGAACACTAAATCTTACTAATAATATTATAAATGTGTAGAGCCCGCTTTAACATCTTTGCACGAATGTGCCGGCTCGCTAGGTGTAATACCACGACCACACAGAAAACAGGCGTGAAGTGGAAGCAACTCCGCGTTTCGTCTGATGAGTATGGTGCCGGAGGCCTAATTTTAGTCCCTTTTCCTTTCCACCCTTTTCTTAAGAGGAAAGGATGGGAGGAAAAAGTGGATTCGTCGGTGAAGGAGATGCATAGGAAGGGGAAATGTCCTCTTTATGTGCGTCTCCTCCTCCGTCAATTAGGGTAGGCAACGCATCTACAATAGAGGATGTTTATGGGCAGCGGTCGCTTTCCATTTCGGTGGATTCAGGTCACGCTTGCGCGTTTGCCACCTCGTATTATAAAAAAAAAATGTGAAAGTTTAGATGGATGGATGTTTGTAGCCTAAACTGCTGAACCGATTTCGATGAAATTTGGCATAGATGTAGAAGATAGTCTGGAAGAACACATAGGCTGTTCACTTTTGTTTTTTCCAACACCGCGCGGACGGAGTGGCGGGCGAAAGCTAGTGTTAAATATTTAAGTAGAATTATATTAAGTTAACTTTAATAATGTACCTTCAGTTAAAAATTAAGTTTCAAATTTTGCACACAGATGTCGCTATTCTCAATTTCAGAATAAAACTTGTGTTTTTATTATTAACTTGGAAAACAATTGAATTTGATTCAATAAGTGCATGTTTTCAAAATTAGTGTTTAGTGATATTTAAAAAAGGTTCTATTACATCTACATTTACGTCCTTCTCAGTTCCACGTTTTATTGATTTATTCAACAATTGGCAAGCAACTGGCTGTTCATGTCCCGTTAAATATTCTAACAACGTTGAAAAAGGACAAGTGCCAGGAATCTTGTCTTATTCCACGTAAATACGTTTAACGGTAGAAATGCGTTTAGTGGCTACAAGTAAGTAGCATCCCCACTGAGGATATCTGAGCCTCCTCTAAGTTAAGTGGCTAGGATAGTCAACTATTCAGCACGGGATGACTACACATATCTTTGAATTTCTTTACTCTTATGTACAATCAAGATGTTTTCTTTTACCGTAATGCTGATCTACCTCTTATATCTATATCTCTTTTACACATTCAGAACTGCAAATCTTTTAGGTTCACTGACGCCAGTTAGTGTTCACCTATGCCAATTGACAGTCCGTCTAATTCGTCATTAAGCTGGTCGGGTGTGTACCGCGCCTTACAACGTGAAATTGTAATTGTCGCTTACAAAGCGAAGTATTCAGCCGTAAGATCTATACTAAATGAAGATTAAAAAAACTTCCTCTACAAATAAATACATCAAAGTAACAAGAATATATTGTGTTAATACGATTTCATACTTAAAGAAACTCGTAAACTCTGGTTATGAAATCAAAGCGGTCATTTTTAACACTTAACAAACGTCATGACCCAATTTTTTATCATTTATTTGAAAATTTATAACACTTTGAAGGTTCATCGGATTACTTGTGAAGTCATTTAGTGGATATGCATTTTTGTTTTTATATTTTTTTGTTTATTAATATTTTCATACTTGCTTATAAAGTGGTAGAGCCCGCTTTAACATCTTCGCACGAATGGGCCGGCCGGTTTAATACCACAACCACACAGAAAACAGACGTGAAATTGAAGCAATTCCGTGTTTCGTCTGATGAGTCTGGTGCCGGAAGCCTAATTTTAGTCCTTTTTCCTTTCCACCCTTTTCTTAATACGAAAGGATGGGAACGAAAGGATGGATTTGACGGTGGAGGAGACGCGTAGGAAGGGGAATTGTCCTCTTTATGTGCGTCTCCTCCTCCGTCAATTCAGGGTAGGCAACGCATCTGCAATTGCGGATGTTCATGGGCAGCGGTCGCTTTCCATTTCGGTGGATTCAGATGCCCATAGACATTCGCAATAGCAGCTGCGTTGCCTACCCTAAATCGACGGAGGAGGAGACGCACATAAAGAGGATATTTCCCCTTCATATGCGTTACCTCCACTATCAAATCCAGGCTCCCTCCCCATCCTATTCTTAATAGAAAAAGGATAGGAAGGAAAAGGGACTAAAGGGCCTCCGGCACCACACTCATCTGAAACGCGGAATTGCTTTACGCATGTCTTCTGTACGGTCGTGGTATTACATCGGGCGAGCCGACCCATTCGTGCGAAAACGGGCTCTACCACATATCTTTTAAATTTCTTCACAGGTATGCTGAAGTACACAGACAGCTGCGAACTGTTTACTAAATTATTTTAAGCCAAGTACCTTATTATAAATAAAAAAATCTTAACAAAAGAACATCAAAAGGTAAAGCACGTGTTTACAAGAGATAATAACCTTTTCTTTGTTCTAAACTCTTTGTTCATTAAAGAAGATTTTTAACAATCATTTGATAAAACCAAAGTTTTAATAACAACGATAAACTTGTTACAGACACTGTTTTAACTTTGATAGAGTTACAAAGGTTAAATATTTTTAGAATTACATCACAATTATAATGGAAAACATTTTTATTAGTTAAAATACGTCAAATTTATTAATTTCTTACTAATGTTGCTTGACTTTGTCCTCATCATATTACAAAAATAATGAAAATTATAGCATATGTTGTTCACAGATAAATTACCTTTCGCACGGTGAAAGAATTTTAAAAATCGGCCCAGTTATTGAGTTATTTCAATACAACCAAAATTATAAAATAAAATTCATATCTCCGCCGCTCCTTTGCCCCCTTTCTCTTATCTATGCTAATATTATAAAGAGGAAAGATGCGTATTTTTCTATTTTTATATGTATTCGATTCGTGTAAAAACTAATGGGCCGATTTCAAAAATTCCTTCCCCATTAGATAGGTAATTTATCTGTTAGTAACATTGGCTATATATTTTAATTTGATGCATCGATGTCGCGAGCAACAACTAGTATGAATATAAAGCTTTCTGATTATGTACAAGCTCTGATTTTAGTCATAGTAGTGACTAACGTGAGCCAATAGTCAAGTATATCTTAATTGTGCAAGTAAAAACTGCTTTTCATGTCTCAATGGGCATTTCTAATTATTTTTTTAACAGAATAACAATTGAATAAACAAATATTTCAAAGGGATATTTTCCCCCGTACTGCAAGCTTTGTTATTTTACCGAGGTCATACCGTTTGCTGAAAACAAAGGAAATTAAACTTTCTCATAAGGGGTTAAAGTTTAAATTTCCGCAATGCGTTTATCCGCAGTTTCAGTCAGCTGGTAGGGTAATTGTTTACTTGCGTTTATTTCTTTTGGGCTCGCTTCCTGTTTTTCTTTGAGGAATTTTTAATATGCTGCAGTGCTGCCCTCTATAATAAAACATAAAGTTTGCTTTCGTTCTATTTAATTTAGTCATAAATTAAGGTGGTAAATGATTGGGTGGTTTTCATTCGAAAAATAAAGTGGTTTAGATAATGGATTAGACTGTTTTATTATGTATTGTATGATCGAATTAAATTAAAAAGAAAAATTGTTTTAACACATTTCTTTATATGACAATTTATTATCTACCAGCTTTCGCCCGCGACTCCGTCCGCGTGGTATTAAAAAAAACGAAACCAAGTAGCCTATATGTTCTTCCAGACTATCCTCTACATCCATGGCAAATTTTATTGAGATCCATTCAGCAGTTTTGGCTACAAACTCTAACAAACATCCATCCATCCATCTAAACTTTC